TAAAATAGACATTTAACTTGATTTCTACTTTGAATGAGGATTAAAAATTCATTAATACTGTTTCACAGTTGATTTAAAATGAGTGGTTCATTTTAACATTTAAAAATGGTATGAACTAAACACACTTTTCATTATCAAGATATTGTAAAATGTAATGATAATATAAAAAAGAGAGTGTTCTTTCAATTGATTAGTTCAGGATACAATTAGAAAGTCTCTGGATGAGCTAATTTGTATTTCTGGATTCAAATCAATGAATTAACAGTTCCTGTCCCGTGAAGGTCTTCAGAGGCAGGTTTTGGTCGGAGGCCTAGTCCACTACATCAACATGTTTATTTAATGCAGTGTCACCTACTTTAACTCCAGACAAAATTGAGGAGACATATCATGACCTCTCTAAGGTTCCAACAGATTATCACGACCTCAAGGAGTTTAATAAAATAAAAGCTACTTCTCTGCCTGCCCATAGACCATATGATTGCTCTATTGAACCGTTACCTGGTACTACTCCACCTAGGGGTACTTTGTATGCTTTATCTGAGCCAGAAACTCAAGCCATGCAAAAATATATTAATGAGTCTCTTCAGGCTGGTATCATTCGTCCATCAGCATCCCCTGATGGGGCTGTTTTTTTCTTTGTGCAAGAAGGATGGGTCCCTTTGCCCTTGTATTGATTATCGGTGACTAAACAATATCACTGTTAAAAACAAACACCCATTACCTCTCATGACCTCTGCCTTCGATCTTATTCAAGGAGCAACCATTTTTACTAAGTTGGACTTAAGAAATGCTTACCACTTAGTTTGCATTCAAGAGGGGGATGAATGGAAAACTGCCTTCAACACCCCTACTGGACACTATGAATATCTTGCAATGCCCTTTGGACTCACCAATGCTCCTGCTGTTTTCCAAGCATTAGTCGATGATGTTCTCAGAGACATGGTTAACCAATTTGTGTTTATTTATTTAGATGACATCCTCATTTTCTCCAAAGATCTGAACTCTCACAAGAAACATGTTAGATCTGTACTATTAAGACTGCTACAAAACAACTTGTTTAAAGCCGAAAAGTGTGAGTTCCATCAATCTCCTACTTCCTTCCTGGGATTTGTTATCTCACCTAACAAAACAACAATGGACATTAACAAGGTTTCAGCAGTTCTGGACTGGCCTGCACCCAAGTATAAGAAACAATTACAGAGATTTTTGGGGTTTGCCAATTTCTACCGTAAATTCATAAAGGGTTATAGTTTGATCTCTGCTCCTCTTCAGGCTCTCACCTCTTCAAAAACCACTTTCTGTTGGAACGAGCAAGCAGAACATGCCTTCAACACGCTAAAAAATTTGTTTTCTATAGCTCCAATATTGCACTTACCAGACCCTGAACAACAGTTTACTGTGGAGGTCGATGCCTCTAGTACTGGGGTTGGAGCAGTTCTAAGTCAACGTAATGCTGAAGGTAACACTCATCCATGTGCCTTTTTTCTCCAAAAGTCTTTCTCCAGCAGAGCTCAACTACGGTGTAGATGAACGAGAACTACTGGCAGTCAAACTAGCACTCGAGAAGTGGAGACATTGGCTGGAGGGTGCCAGGAAACCCTTTCAGGTTTGGACTGACCATAAGAACTTGGAATATTTAAAAACAGCTAACAGACTTAACCCCAGACAGGCCAGGTGGGCTCTGTTTTTCAGCCGGTTCGACGTCACTCTGTCTTACAGACCGAGATCCAGGAACGTAAAACCAGATGCCCTCTCTTGGATCATGGGGAACAATGAGACTCTCATCCCCAGTAAAAAGGTAGAGTTCATCCTACCCAACAAGGTGCGACTCTCCATCACATAGCTGGAGGAGGAGATTAAACAAGCTAAACACACCCAGCCACCTCCACCAGACTGTCCCAAGAACCGGATGTTCGTCCCTGCACATCATGTCCAAAAGGTACTAGAACTCTGTCATCAGTCTCGACTTTTCTGCCACCCTGGCATAACAAAGACCCTGGCCCTTGTTAAAGCCCAGTTCTGGTGGAAGGACCTGGTTAGTGATGTCAAGGACTTTGTTTCATCTTGTCATCTATGCTGCCAGGCTAAAACCTCTAGACACCCACCTGCAGGTCTCCTACGTCCTCTTCCCATTCCCTCATGTCCCTGGTCTCATATAGCTATGGACTTTATCACAGGTCTCCCACCGTCTTCAGGCAACAGTCATCCTGACAATTGTGGGCCGCTTTTCTAAAATGGTCCACTTAGTCCCTTTGAAAAAACTCCCTTCTGCCAAGGAACTGGGGTAGGTCATAGTTAAAGACTTTTTCACCTACATGGACTTCCTTCTGATAGTGTGTCTGACTGTGGTCCTCAGTTCATATCACGCTTTTGGAAGGAGTTTTGTAACCTCTTGGGCATCTCTGTGAGCCTCTCTTCATGTTTCCATCCTAAGACCGATGGCCAAAGCGAATGAGCCAACCAGGAAGTGGAGACAAAGCTTTACCTTTTGTACGAGGGGGACCCAACCAAGTGGTTTACTAACCTGCCATGGGCGGAACACGCCATCAACACCCTACCTTCAGTGGCATCAGGTTTGTCTCCTTTCCACACAGTTTTTGGGTTCTAACCACCACAGTTTTCTATTCAGGGGAGAGAGGCTCAAGTACCGTCTGCCCACAGAGCAGCTCTTAGGTGCCAACGGACCTGGAGAAGAGCAAGAAGAGCTCTTGTTAAGACATCAGCTGTCTATATCAGGGGTGCCAACCAACGTTATTCCCAGAACCCCACGTACCAGGTAGGCCAGAAGGTCTGGCTCTCAACCAAAGACCTTCCCCTGAGGGTTGAGTGTCATAAATTGGCACCCTGCTTTGTGGGTCCATTCCCCATAGCCAAGGTAATAAACCCTGTGGCAGGACGTCTCCAGCTACCCGGCTCACTCAAGATCCATCCAACCTTCCACGTCTCCAGGGTTAAGCCCTTGGTATCATCACGTTTTGGGCCCTCCTCTGGGCCCCCACATCCTGCCCGACTCATCGATGGGGCTCCAGCCTTCACTGTCAGGAGAATACTCTGCTCCAGAAGGTGGGGTCGGGGTTACCATTGCCTAGTTGATTGGGAGGGCTATGGGCCCGAGGAGCGGTCATGGGTTCCTGCCCGCAACATCCTCGACAAATCACTCATCCGTGACTTCCATAGTTCTCACCCTAACCAACCTGGAGGTCTGTCAGGAGCCGGACCTTAGGGGTGGGACTATGTCACGTTTCTGCTCCCACCTGCCATGTTTCTCTTTTCATTCATACCCTGGGTTGTTACAAAGTCTCTGTAATGCCTATCACCCATCTTACTGCACTTCCTGCTCTGCTCAATTAACCACCCCCACTCTGCTGAGTCACTGCAATCAGCCCTCATGCAGCTCACCTGTTGTCACCTGTATTTAAACCCCACAGCCAAACTACTCGGTGCCAGATTATTGAAAGCCTCACAGTAAGTAAATGTCCAGCATTCATGCCCTAGTCTCGTTTGTCTTCCTGGTTTTGACCGCACGCCTGCCCCATGGATTCCTCTGTCTGTTTTGGATTATCTGTTCTGCTTATGGAAATGACCTCGGCTTCCTCTATAACGACCATGATTTTTGGATCTCGTCTCAAGTTAGGCTTCGGATCTCTGACCACCCGTGTATCGACCTTGTCTGTTTCTCTGAACCTGCCATTTGGATTTCTCCCCTTGCTGCTCACTGCTCAGCTCAGTCTCAAAACCGGCTCATCTTCACCACCGGTGAAGTCACCAGAACCAACTCCTTCAAGGAACCGCTCCCTCATCTGTCTGTGGAGGTTGGTGACTGTCATCAGAACAATCTGAGAATTACAATTGAACTCTTGTTCATTAACTTTGCTATCTCTTCAGATTGTACCGGTCCAAGGACTAAGACCTCACCTTCCTGCTGTCTGTGATCTGGTTTGAATCCCTAAACCCAGTTCTTGTCAGATATTTTGTTAACTATTTATTTAAAAAATGTTTTTGCTTTATTAAAAATGGTAAATTAGTGGATGAACACAAAAAGATGAAATTAGGTTAAATTTATGATTGTTTAAATCTGGCAAATCTTCTGGTTTATTTTGGACAATAGGGAAGATTCTGGATTTTTTTTTCTAGTGCTTTAATTAAAGGAACAGGACTTTGTTTATATATTTAAGTATGTTTAACTTCTCAATAAAACGCTTATTTATTTCTGAAGAAGCTTTTGTGACGAGAAACGTTTTTGAGAACCAAGTAAGGATTTTAGTCAAACACTAAGCAGGTAGTCTGATCAATGCACGTCTCTCTTGG